GCTCCCAGCGATTTTTTCCTGTTTCCTAATTTGAAAAAATTTCTCGGCGAAAAATATAAGTCAAATGCTGAGGTGGAAAACGCTGTAAACCAGTATTTTTCAGGTTTAGACAATCAATTTTTTTCTGACGGTTTAAAAGGATGGGAGAAACGTTGGACTAAATGTGTCGAGTTGCAGGGAGACTACGTCGAGAAATAAATTTTGTTTTGCTTTGAAATATGTGTTTTTCTTAAAAAGGCCGGAAACTTTTCAAATGGCCCTCGTACCTATTGTAGATTTAACGGCCACGTATAGACAAAGGTCTCCCCACAAAGCCGCTCCGAGCGCGCGTGTATTACCTGTTTTTCGTTTAACAGACCTTCGAACAAGCTGTAACTCGTAAAATACTTTCGATATGAAAATATCCTTTTGGCCACGTATTCTCGACACCATAAGGATGAAATTTAAGCAAAAAAAACCAATTTTTTCATCGTTGAGAATGAGAACCTGGCCTTAATACCTTAAAACCAAAAGATACGAGTATTTCATGACTACTACAACTTCTATTCGGGGTCATTTTCCGTGGAAGTGCGTACTTCTGGAAATAATAGGGGGACCTTATCTTTTCGAATACCCTTTTTTTTTACTAGGAGGAAATCCCTTCGTATCCCCAGCCCTCCGGGGGGAGAACTGGGGTATGCTGTGCATGTTAGCAGCTAAAACCTCCTAGGGGCCACCTCGCGCGCATGAGTGGCCGGGCCCTGGGAACACTTCGTACACAACCAGGACCCGGCCGCGCTTTTTTCGAATACCCTGTATAATTCGTTAACCTTCATAAGCTGTTAAACAATTTTGGATCTATGGATCTATTTGGAACAAAATTTGTTAGCTTTCAATTAAAAAAGAAATTTTTTACGAATATTTCTTTACTTTATTTTAATGAAGTAACGTGACTTATTTCCAAAATCTTGGCCTTTTTAAATGGTAAGTATCCTTGTACTAAACTACACGCGGGATAATTTTGAGCTGAACAGATTTAGTAAAATCACTTCCAGCAGCCTATGAAGATTATCAAAATATGATCCAAATGGTTACAATAATAACAAATTCTGCTTGGTTATCTGCTGACGGAATA